ATAAGCCCAGAATAAAGTGGTGAGCCATGTATGCTTAAGAAAATAAACGTTACTTTGGAGAAAATCAAAAGCAAGATTGGTTTCAGTAAACTGAACTGCAGCAGGAAGTTGTTCATGACACCATAAAGCAGGAAGCATATGTTTGGTTAATCATCAGACCAGCGTAAAAATGAACTAAGAAGCGGTAACAAACCCATATAAATGCACTTTTAAAACACAAAATAAATGAGACATCAAAGCATGCTGCTCTCAATAACATTCCTCAAGTGTCATATCTTGGCCAGTATCCCAGGATACCCTTAGAAATGACACATTACATCTCAATGGGATTCTTTCAACAAAATATTTTCATAAATAAATTCAGGTTTTATGCTAACTTATTTGATTAAATACAGCTTTATGGGAAGTATGTGCAACAGATGTCAGAGCCTGATGGGCTTTTCTTCCAATTCCTAATTATTTGTGAAACTTCCATTTATAAATGCTATCACAGAGTAAGACAAATAAATAATCCACCTAAAAAGCCTAAGTATGGCTCAAATCCATTCTGAAATGGTAAAAGTGAAAGATTTAAAACACCATCAGGTTTCAAGGACAGCTCACAAAACAAAAAAGTTCAAGTGTTCTGCACTGAGGTAAGGGAAACCAGTGACTCTGTTTATTACCTACCAAAATCCAAGTATGATGTGCATAACACAACCTTTCAGTTATACCTTTTCCCAGGTAAAACTGCACAGTCTCAGTACCATCAGTGACAAACTGGTAGTTGTTCACATCTTCCTCAATTTTCTAATTTCTAGAATAAGATTTAAATAATTTCCTCTTTTCCAAGAGATATTTTCAGCTACAATTCTAAAATACAGGCACTCTAATTACAGAACATTTCCTAGCTTTCTTAAGATTTTTTTTTACCAATCCCAAATGCAGGCCATGATCATGCTACTGTCTCTAGACCAACTACAAACTCTTGGCACTCTTCACACAGAACAGGTTTATTTCAAAATCACCTGAAAGCAGAGGGAAGACTCTTTCTGATTTCAGTCATTGTAAGAGAATAAACATATTGATTTATTTTGCATATTATTGGAAACACTAAAAAATTCCCTAGACACTAGTAAACACTAGAAAAAATCCCTAAATTTGTAAAAAAACCAAGATACTTCTAATCTGGATACCAGAAGCCTGTATGCAGAAATTTATGACCAACCAGCCAAAATTCTTGCGTACCTGCTTAGTTATAAGAATTTTCATGGATTTGATTCTTAGGCAAATATTAAACTTCCCATTGAAGCAATGCCTTCAATAAAGATTTTCTTGCCATTTTACTCTGTTTCATTTATACAGCTCTAGGGTGCTTTCATATCACATGCCTAATAAGATGAAATGAGAATCTGAAAATTTATGATTTCATGTTTCTCTCTGGTAACTTCACAGCATCTCATTTCATGTTTCTCTCATTCCTATGCTTTTATTTAGACTGGATTCCAAGGTAACAACATAGTAACTCATTTTAAAGGACAATAAATATGCTTGCAGAATTCCTGGCACAAAAGCAGAGAATCTGTCAAGTCTTCACTGTAGAAAACCCCAAAAATGAACAACAAAAAACACAGCATTAAGTGCATTTTATTTGCACATGCAAACAAATCGTGTAATTACTTGGGTTGAAGGAAACTAATAGGCTACTGCATTTTTTCCTTCTAATACCAGGAAAATTATCATTATCTTAATAACATCCTTGATAGACAGATATCAAGCCTAGACCTGAGTGTTTTCAATGACAGTGATTATAAAACATGCCTTCCCGGATTATCTTATTGCTTATTGATAAAAATAGTTTCTTAGTGTTTAACTTTAAAAATATTTTCCCCACCATGCTTCATTTCTCATTCTGTCATTGATCACTATTTTTTTAATAATTAAATTATTCTGGCCTGTTCTGTAATGTTCCTTTACGTTTTGTGATAAGTGGTGATTTCTCTCCTCAGTTGTGCTATCCTTTGCATGAACATGCCCAGCCCTCATTCCCTTCTCTCAGCTATTATTTCCCTAAACTTTTCATCACTTTTGTTTGTTGAACTACCTCCAGTTGATTTTAAAGAGTGCATTATCTTCCACACTATCTTTGAAGATAATCAAGAAAATTCCACATCATTGACACCCTGGAGGAGACATTACAAAGACAAACAAGGTTTACAGAACAAGAGCACATAATTTAAAGTAAAAAGCATATACCACCCAAGACAAACTTTTTTTTTTACCTGTAAGGATGTTAAAAAGCTGTATTTTAAAGCTACTGTGATAATTCTTGCACAAAGAAAGCATCTGAGTTAAATTTCATGGTGTCTTATAATACACTAAGACATAAACCAGAAAAATACATACAGGATTAAGTTTCCATAAAGCCCAAATGATCTGGCATATGAAATAGGAGAAGGAATTTAATCCACTCCTATAATGTGGTCAGGGCACATGACTTCCACCCTGTCTCCATAGCTGCCTGCTCTGGCCACCGAGCCAGAATAGCAACCGTGGCTCCTGCAGGCCACTGGCCGGCTCTGGTGACCCATCCCCGGCCGGCTCCCGTGGCCAGAGCTGGGATGCAGCCGCCTCCTGGCGCAGCTGTTGGGCCCCATTCCTCACTGCCCTGGGCAGCCACTCGGCCAGGTAACTGCACAGCACACAGCCTGGGCATCTTCCTCCTTCTGAGTTTGCTCATTTTTAACCTGCCTCGAGAACCCTGCTTGCCCCCAGGACTGGGACCCGCAGCAAAGAACAAGCCGAAGGGGGGATTGCTTTGGTTTCCTTCACCCTGTAAACTCACTCCTGATGGAAAACTACACTTTTCAGTTGCCTCTGTAATAGATAAAAGTGTAAAGTTGTTTCTTCTGAGGAAGCAAATTAGATTAGGAATTAATTTGTTTAAAATGTGAGACAGATTAATCTCTTTACCTGAAAAAAAAAAGGCAAATCTTATAAAGCAGGAATATAAGAATAAACTTGCAGTTTTATTCATTAAGAATTTTTTAAGTCAGGAACTGCTGCTGAGTCACTATGACATGTTTTTGAAGGGGTACAGTGCACATGTAGTTTCAAGTCTTTTAGTCCAAATTCCTTTTATTCTTCACATGGTATTTTCACAGTTGAGAGGAACTCACATAACTATTTTGCACACAATTCAGTCTCCTCAAATTTGTTCTCTTTTAAATGCAATGAACTTTACAGTGAATTTTTCATACTTTCAAATAGAGAGGTAGACATAATTTTGTTTTGTCAACTAGGAAAAGGTACAGTTGTGTCCCTGTTCTCAAGCGTTATTACTCAAAGCACAGAAGGGAGCACATGACTGTACACTGACCTTCATCTGTTCCCAAATTATGCCTTTTAAAAGCCTTGAATCTGTTTAAGGGGAGCTGCTGAAACCTGAAACTAACGTGGTCTATTGCTTTATAAAGTAGATGAATGTAGAACTTAAGTATTACATTTCAGGCTCTGTACTAAATATAGCAAAATTAGGATGAGGGAGAATATAACTGTAACCTGAGTCTGGTTTTAGAGAATCATTTTTTGTTACAGGTATTGATGATTACTCTGTTACATTTAGGATGTTTCCATTTCTAACAGAAAATCACCATAAATTTGCAGAAGGAAAATGTTCTCCTGATAAAGATTTTTATTTTTAAAAGCCAAGTCCTTAAAAAAATTAACAGCTCTTCAGCCCTCAAATCACACCCCCACAAATTGCTAACCAGTTCAGACAGAACCAAGTCTAAAAAAAATCTTGAAATACACCTTGCATCTCAATTTTCATTGCTTGCACTCTGCTTGATTTTCATCAGGATATGTTTAATAATGACCAAACACATAATCTTGAGTATTAAAGGGAAAATTACACTTAATTAGAAAAGTAAGCAGTGCATAACTGCAGAAAGCATCTTTTGCTGTGTGCCTAACACAACAGGCCAAAATTATGTAACTTTTACAAGCAACACTTCAATAAACTTGTTCAATAATTACAGTGGAGAAGAGGTAATCAAGGATTTTTACTTCATTCATTTTTAGTAAACTTCACTGCTGTTTCTAATGACATAATTAAACCTTCCAAGGAGTTCTGATAATGTTCATCTGCATGTTTCAAAGCAAGATTAACTTAAATCTAACTCCGCAGGACAAGAACAATAGTCAGCTCATTATTTTCCAATAGAAAAATGGCTTAGAAATTGACAGATTTATTCACAAGTTTGCAAATTTTTGACAGTTTTCAGATGGGAACTGTAATACTCGTTACCCATTTAACATGCTTCAGGATGTAAGTGGCTTTTAGAAATCATCTGATCCAATCTCCTGTTAAAAGTCACTCTAAGTTAGGCCTGATTTCACAGAGCCTTGTCCAGTCAAGGTTTGGATTTCTCTAAGATTCCTCAGTTTCTCTGGGCAAAGCATTCCAGGACAAAATTATTGTCCATGGGTGTGCCTGTGTGTCATGGATCTTCCTTCTGTTAGAATTTAAACCTAAATATGATGAGAAATGCTGCTTCTTTTGTCTGTGCTGACACACAGGTGATTTTTGACAGCAGAGGTTCTGAAGGTTTGCCTTAACAAGTTCTGAATGATCTTGATCTTAGGAAAGCTCATGAACCACATACTGTAGACTCATTCCCAGATCTGCAATAACTAAAGAAAGAAAAGAAATAAAAGGAAAAAAAGGAAAACTCATACCAATTCTGCTATTTTAACTTGTGCTAGAGTCACACCACCAGACTGCACATGGTTAAATGATCTGGCCCTACTGCAGCATATAGTGAGATTTTAAAAGATGACTCACATCTAAGGCAAATGAAGTGACTACTGCAGTCCTTGTGTTTTTGTCTATAATTTAATCAGCTGTTCATCTGAACAGTTGGAAAGGATACATTTATACCACAATAACTTAATCTCTCCTGGTAAATATTTTCCTGCATCTTTTGATACAAATCTATTAAATATTGGCTTATACTGACCTAATTTGAAATGAGACAGAACACTGGGGTCCCAAAGGAACCCAGCATGCAATCTTTTGGTTCACTACCATGCAGCAAGGAAGTCAGTCTTTACTTGTGCTGCTGAAAGACAATGACAAATAAAGACATGGGTTAGGCATAAGGTCTGCTTTTATATGATTACACAGTTGTTTTTTTAATTCATCATCACTAAATTCATAATACATATCAATTCTTTGTAAATATATAATATATACATGTGTTCTTTACACATCTGGCATTCCAACATGCTCAGTTCAGGTAAACAGCCCTATTACAGGCACTTGGAGGATTTAACAGTCCTACAGCACTTCTGTAAGTAGTAAGCTATGAATACTTATGAAAAAGTATTAGGAAAAGGGATCTTAATTCTGGAAAACATCTACAATCTTTTTCAATCAGACATACACACTAGGAAATCCTGACCAACAGAACATGTGTCCCAGAAACCTCCCTTCTTCAATATTTATCCTTCATTAACAGTAATGAACCTGTAAGAGCTCTCACAGTATGAAGTTCTCTATAATCTTCAGGAACTAGTTAACATAACTTTTCCATATAAAAAGCATTACAGCTATTAAAATACAGCAAAATGTAGGGCTTTAAAGTATTATGAGGGATTTTGAATCTGACTAATGTATTGGATAATAACTGCCTTCCTATTCACAAAAAAAAAAATAATTATGTAAACCCATGGATTTCCTACGCAGAAAGTTCACATTACTACCTTTGGTGTCAGAAGCTGCAATGAATTTCCTTGTAAAAGAGTGTTAGACACTCTGCAGTTCAACAGTAGTCACTAATAAGTTCGGGTGGCAGCTGTTGTACATCTGAAGCTAACAAATGTTATGTGACCAGAGATGACTGGCATGACATGTGGCTGTAGCCTTTTTATAAAGTTATGTTCTCAACTATTTTAAAAATGTCCACAAAAGTCCTTCAGAAATACTGTTCCCAAGAAGTTCATGGAAAACTGATCCTTTAATACTTACCCCACTCAGTTAGTTGCATATATTCACACATTATCACACAGTGATAAACTAAAGTTTAAACAAAAATAAAATAGTCATACAAATTCATCTGGAAGTCATGTTCTCAGCACTGTGACTTGAGGCTGGATTCACTTGCTTGAATGGGCATATATTAAATTTCCAGCAATCAATTATCATTTCAGCCTTTGTATCTGCCATCATAAATTCAGGCACATGCCCATATGGACAGACAAAGTGCAAAGACAGAACTGTCTTCCAGGCAAATTCCAAGAGCAAGTGTGAAGTTCAGTATTGAAATATCACTCCCTTTTCTGTCTTCATTCTCAAGCAGTACAGGCATTTTTAATCTAGCTAATACTTTCCCAGTCTTCCTGAAAATTTTACCTTCATAATCTTTAGATAAAAAGTGTTGCTAGAATTTTATATCCCTCCCAGGCACCCACACTCATGTAAAAGCTCATGTCATAAAAAGACTCATGTAAGGACTGACTTAGATGCTTCCAACAGAGAAGAATTTCCAAAATTCAACTAATTTTAGTTATTTAATGCACATGAAAAACATATCTCTTGACATGGTTCTGGTTATGTCACAATTATGACACTAAAATTAGTGTCTTGCTACATTTTTTACATTTCATAGATTTTCATACATTTTTAGAAAAGCTTTTCTTGGAAAAAGTTGTTATTTTCTTGGAAAAAGTTGTTACCTTGCTTTTTATTTTTATCTTCTAGTAACTGAATTTTCAGTGAACAGATTAAATATTAATACCTTTTTTAAGACATATAAATTTATTAGTTTTTAATAACACTGAGAATTTAATAACACTGACAAAGTCGGGAGTTAATTGCTTTTCTTCCACAATCAGAGAAATAAGTTTGGAAAGACAGAAGAAACTCCTTCCTTCAGGTAATAAATTCCCACTCAAAAAAGAGGATTTCATACAATCCAAACTTTCAGTTCCATCTTCTATGTAGTCATTAAAATGTACAATAAATTATGTGGTAAAACTCTAATATTGGAATAGTCAAGCACAGACAAAACTTACTGAAAACATAATAAACCACAAGGAGATTTTTAACTTTCTATTAATTCTACCTTAAACAGTAGAGAACCACCTGCAAGTATTACACAAAAAGTGAGAATTGAATAGGAAATTGGAGGAAAGAGAACATCAGCAACACTTGACCAATAAAAGAGAATACATATGAAATATAACATGAAGACAATGGGAAATAACATGATGTTATTGTTACCTGTCATGTGTCCTCATAAAATCCCAGAACTTCTTAGTGCCATTCTGGGGGAAAAAAAAATTAAAATCAGTCAAATTAACTCCAACTGAAAAATTACTGCAATGAAATTTAACAAAACTTAGGAGGCATTTCTTTAAAAACTTAGTTGGTTTTATTTATGAGGCCAGTATTCTGAATTTTGACAGTTAATATTACAGACACTGAAAACTGTCTTAGAACAGGTCAAAATCTTAGACCCACAATACTATGATGACAGCTAGCATACGTTTATTGCAGTCTTCAGGCCCAGTTTTGGCCACAGAATCAACTTCAGCTGCCCAGTCTAACCCTTCACGGTACCAGGAAGCTATAAACAACTATGTTTTAACCAGTAAAATAACCCACAGGTATGTTCTTCCATGTCCAGAAATGTTCTTACCTTGAGAACAGCTCAGCACTTACCTCCTAACTAAACCCATGTAGGATCCAAGAACAAGACATCTTCCACCTAACCCCTTATGAGGACCCAAACAGGAGTTTTATCCACACCTAACATGAAGGGGTCACACTCCACTCCACACAGCAGCTCTTCCTCTGTGCTACTGGTGGTGCTGAGGGCACTGTCTCACAGCAGGCTTGAAAACACAGCAATCACTCAAGTACTGGGAGACGGAAAATGGCTGATTTTCTCAAGATGGGCCAATTCCTGTCCTCTGCCAGCTTAAGAAGAACAATATCCACTACAGCACAGCTGACAGTAACCTCTGAAAACAAGAGTTCTTTCACAGTTAAAATGAGTCCATATACCTTGCCTATATTTATATTATACCATCTATAGTTACCTATAGCAATTCATACACATCAGTTAATGGAGATGCATGTAACTCTTTACTCTGTTTACTGGAAGTGTGATGGTGTTTTTCAGCTCAAATACAACTCCAGAGATTCTACTCCCAGGTCAGTTTTAAGTCTGTGTTAGGAATCAGTATGATACCAGAGGAAATTCCCGTGGTTGATACCTTTTTCTTATTACCAACGCAAAAACGAGACCTGCTGAAGACCTACCTACCTGAAATATGCTTAACGTGAAAAGCAGCACTTGACTTCTATTATAAAGTATGGTTAAATGGATGATCAAACCCTGAGCAACTGGTTAATGATTTAAAGCAGGTAAATGTGAGCAATGAGAGAAGAATCAAATTCAGTTGGTGGGTAAAGGTGCCAACCGATATAGACAGGCCCTTCAGCTCCATTACAGATGTCATGGCTACCAAGTACACAACAGCTGGTGGGGATTAGATAACAAGCACTCTGGTTCAGAGATTAAGCCCCTGAGCTTTATGAGTTTACCAAGCTTTTTGGAAGAGGGACTGTTTGCTTGCTAGCTGGGTTTTTCTTCATTCCCACAACTCTAATTATAAACAGTTGTTCACCTCAAGAGAAACTCTAATCCGCGCTTCCATTGGTGTCTGCACATACCTTCTGTTAGCACTGACAGGAATCGGACGTGTGCATTACAGGAGGAGCCCTGTCATTGTTCAGATGCAATATAATGTTGAAAGGGAAATAAAGACAGAAAATTCTCAGTGGGAACTGAAATATTAAAGCCATTGCTTCCAAATCTGAATGTATATCCAATTCATTCCACCTGGTGAGAGATAGAGCAACAACTTTGATAGGACTGTGATATAACACACAGCTGCAACAGGGGCTGTGTTGTATGGTAAGATAATTTAAGGTATTAAATGTGTAAGGTCAGCTCAATCTTTCTGTAGGTTTATTTCTACCTGTAAACAAGGTATTTGTGGGATTTGTTAGCAGATTGCTGAGCAATTTTCCATTTAACACGAAAGAATTGGAAAACTTTGTACCAAGGGTAATGTCTTCTGCATGTAACTTCACACTGTTTCTCTAGTCTCAACCTTCCCCTGCCCTCAAATTGTAAGTTGGTGCTACCATCATCCATTCTCCCTTTGCAGTGTTCACTTTGGAGAAGTGTGGGTGTCCAGCTACTGGAGATGTCAAAAAAAGCCTGAATCAAGTTTCTTCTTGCATTAATTTAGGCTGCTACTCCTGTGATACTGCAGTCTAACATATGATCCCACCAAAAATCTTCCTGGCTCTTTCCTCTTGCCATCATTTAGCAAATTATAGAACCTGATTGCTTTGGAGCACTTATGAGAGGGTTTCAAATAGCTGAGGAAAATTACACCCTAGAGAATCATCCTCATACAGATGGGATCCATCAGAACTGAATGACCTCTTTGCAAGGATGAGCTCTATTACCATTAACAGAGCCTACCTCACAGACACGCACATAATTTTTAGCAGAAAGTAAAAGAAGCAACTTAGTACCTAAAAAGAAATTAATCAGAAAATAAAATCTGTGTTTTCTATTTTCTAAGCCCAGATGAAGCACTTTTTCTAGACATGATTTGATTAGTCTAAGACTCAAACTCAAAACCAGCCACGGGCTAGATTAATTTGAGTCAAGACATTGGTTAGTATCATATACTCTGACTGGACAATGCTTACTAAGATATTTTCTGCCTATATTTGAATTAAAAAGTTATTTCATATGATCAAGTTGCACCTGTCCAAATAAATAAATCAATAAACAAATGAAACATTCCAACATCTTTTTGTTTACAGTGGCAGAAACTCAAATGAGCCTCATTCATACTCTATTGTTGAAGTCAAATGTAATTTGAACTCAACCGAATGGAGCTGAGTTTCTATTGTAGCCAATGCATGGTTCTTTCCTAACAGACTGGTAGGAAGGTTGCTAATTATTAATAGCATGTAAACAGTTACCAATGGTTCTTATGCTGCTTTACATACTTTACAGAACATTAATTCCAGACAGCTTCTAACCAACTATATCAAGCTGCATGTAGTATCTCTATCTTATCTTTGAGACAAAAGTATTACTTGCTGAACTGATCAAGATTCATGCTTTTAAAAGCCAAGTGGCTATGATTACTTGTTAAACTGTTCCATTCTATATATCCTGGTCTTTGACAAAGCTCTGCCATCACCACAGTTACAGATAGCTGCAATATTAAAGGTATCAGTGGTCAACATCATTCCTGAAAAAAAAAAAAGTATCTTTGTGAAACACAAAGGCTCTCCAAACCCCTAACATTTTTTCATTTTAATAAGCATGTGTAATAATTGCATTATTAGCAGTAGTCCATTCTCCAATGCCTAGTAAAGAACAATCACAGTATCTCTCAATGCAGTGAGAACTGAGTATAACATTGCTAGGAGATCTAAACATTGATGACAGGAAGGAGAAGGGATTATTTTATGACATTTGAGAAAAATTTAAAAATTTATTCATCAAACAGGAAATGTGTCCTGTGATGTTTATAAAGACAAATATGTCAGAACTATTTTACACCAGTTTTAATCAGTTCAGAATAGCAGTTCTGATACTGCAGGAATCTTGTGTAACACATAATCGATTTGGTAAATCTTTAATCACAAAGTAATCACACTCTAGTTCTGTGCTCAGTGATCAAGTTCTGTGATGTTGCAACACTCAACTAGTGCATATAGTATGTGTAAATTAATGAAGCTGTATTCCAGGAGAGGCAGCATGTGAGACAATTTCGTTTCACATTACACAGAAGATGGATCACTTACATAAGTACTAGTTGCATAAGAAAGCCATTCCAGGTCAGACGAGATGTCCATCTTGCCTGGCAACCTGTCTCTAAAATTTAAGAACAGAGAAAGCACACAGCAATGCTTCCCCAGAACACTCTTCCAAGTCTGGCAAAAGGCACTGAAGGGTGGCAAAAGACAAAAAGGCACCCAAATCAAGCACAGTCCTAACTCTAAAAAGAAAGCACAAATAGCCATTTCTGTACTACCTGAATGTGCAAAGTGTGCCACAAGACCATACTGTCTGTAAGAGTGACTTGGTAATGGCATTGATAACTTAATCAGAATTAACAGCAGCTCACTCCCAGCTTGACAGTCTGCACAAGGAGACTCAATGCCTTTTGGTTCAAGTGATTCCAGGACAACCAGGCACTGCCAAGTGCTCTCTGCTAGACAGGTGTTGACAGTGGCTTTAAGTTCAGTAGATGTGACTCCTACGTGCACAGATCTGTTTATATCCATACTTGATCTTCACATTCTCTATCCTGCTACCATCCTTGAAATAATTTTCCAAAGACTCTTCCTGCACCAGCTCAGTGCCATAATTACAGGCAGGAGTCTCTTCACATTGTCTGTAAAGGACAAGTTGGACCTGCCTGCAGCCTATCAAAATATCATTCTTTTTGACACATGCCCTCTGGCTAAAATGCCTTAAGAATCCCTATGCCAGGGATATGGCTGTCCTTTGCTTTCCTCTACCACTTGAGGCAATAAAATATCTGAACAACAAGGTCAAATCACTGCCAGAATGTCTAAAGAACAACTCTTGCTTGCTAGAGGAACTTACCTAAGACTTATCCCAGGCAGGCTGATAAAGAAGAGAAAAAGGACTTTCTGTGCTAATGATGTAGAAAGAAACATTCACTGGCACTGACTGTAGGGCCATACTGGGTATGCTCCATATCTGACAGACCCTGGACATGCTCTGACACAGGTCACTGGGAGTTTTCACTCTTCACTTGGGGCAGCTTCAATGCTTTCCACCTCCTTTTCCCTGAGGGCAGTGCCCATGCCAGTCTTCTCAGTCTGCCATATGAGAAGCTCTTGAACCAGCTCTTACATGAGGAAATGTGTCTGCACAGGTACCAATCATCACTGTTAGACTGATACCATCCTTTCAAAAATAAAAACCCCAACCCAAACAAACCAAGCCCCTCAGTCTGGCTCTGTGTACAGCCCTCCTGAAACTCACAACTTCTCTGCAGATGCAGCTTTTTAAAGCTAGAAGAAATAATTCTTAAACACAATTTTAGAGAGGCCTTTCCTCAAGGATCATTCCAAGAATCTCCCCAAAGAATGACATCCTTTTGATAAATAATTTAATTGAATTAGAGCTGTGGTACTCCAGTTATAAGATGCTACTGAGTTTCAAGGTGAGGAAGAGAAAGGACAGGGATGCTGTAGTC